GGATTGAACTCAGGCCCTTGCACTTGCCAGGGAAGCGCTTATTCCACTGAGCCGTCTCCTGGGCCCACATTTGGCAGTTTTTGTGTTCTTGATGACAGCCTTTCTGACTGAAGTGAGGTGGGACTTCAGAGCTGCGTTGGTTTGTATTTCCTTAATGACTACGGACGATGCCATACTTAAGCATTTACTGGCCGTTTATCCTCTGTAGTCACTTCATTTGCCCGCTTTTTGCTTGGGTCATTTGTTTGAGATTATATATTCTAGGTATTAGTCCTCTAGCAGAAGAACAGCCAGCAATGCTTTTTTTTTATTTCCTAATTTGTAACCTGTCTCTTCACTCTGTCTCTTGTTTCCTTTACTGTGCAGAAGCTTTTCAATTTGATGTCATCCCATTTGCTGATTCTGGTATTATTTCTTAGGCTAAACCTATGTTAAAGAATGCTTTCTTTCAAAATATACCAGGTTTGGGGCCGGGGAGATGGCTCAGTGGAATAAGCACTTCCCTGGCAAGCGCAAGGACCTGAGTTCAATCCCCAGTTCCACCAAAAATATATTTATGTATATACATAATCAGGTTTGCAGGGGCTGGGGTTCGATCCCTGAGCCTGCCCTGCCAGCCTCGCCCCCCCAGGGCAAGCTGAGATAGCAGTTGAGACTGGGTATAATGGCACGTGTCTATAATCCCAGCTCTTGGGAGGCTATAAACAGGTGGATTACTACGAGTCGGATCTAGTAGTGAGACCCTGAATACCCTGTAGACCTTGCCCTAAATTAAAACACAAGCACACACCCCAGGTTTACATCTCAGGAGAAAGCACCAAGGTGACTAGATATTATTTGGCTGTGGTCACTGTCATTGCTCTGTGCTGGAGGATCAAGACCAGGCTCCTCTTCTGCCGTCACCATGGAGAGCAGAAGGGCAGGCAAGAATCAGCTCAGGGTTGAGGTAGAGGGTGGAGTACCACTTAGTCACTGCACCTTCCTTTCCCTGGAGGCCTTCCTCAGACCTCACTCTTCCTGCTCTTACCTGGAAGCCAGGGCTCGGGCAGACCCTTACTGGATACGTCCTTCCACAGCATGCTCTTGCCACTGCAGAATGCATGTGAACCACTGTATGCTTTGTGTTGTGTCTCAGCATGTTGGTAGGGGGACCGTCATTTGCATGTCTTGCTGCTTCATGGCTTGAACACCAATGTCCATGTGTAATTGGCCATTGGTGGCCTGTACCACTGGTGGATGGATCAAGTTGCTGTATCTACCTTTCTACTGCTAATAAAAAGCTGTTGGAAGCACGTTACAGAATTACCTACCCTGTTGAGTTTTACTTACATTGTGTATATCAAAATCAAGTTCAGAGAGGCCTTTATGTTATTATATCATTTTGTTTTCTGGTTGTCTTTCAGAATTTGGATTACATGTACTTACTTTTGGGGCTGCTGGCAGGCTAGCTCGGTAGGGGCTGGCAGGATAGCTTAGTTGTCTAAAGTG